AATTCCAATGAACAATCAGCTATTTTAGATATTTGCTTAGAAAAAGTTATTTTATTTTTAAAATATATTTTAATGTGTTCAGCTATAATATTTTATTCAGAAAAGTCACAGTACCTGTACTTGACGAAACATGCCTGGCTGGTATTCATCTAGCCAATCTACATGCCATACCAGCAATGACCCATCCATAGGATGAATACTAAATAACATGTCTGCATTTTTATTCCATTCAGATAGCTGTACTTCAGTTTCATGATCAATAACAGCAGAAGGCAAAGGAACATAGCTTGAATTTGAAACAAGTTTTTCACCACCAGATTCTAATTGTTCTTGATTTCCTTTGTAATCATCTCTATTTTCATCCATTTCTGTGAGAAGGGGGGAAAAGGTTATTTTAAACATTTCAGTTATTTTAAAATCATAAAAGTTATAGGCAACATTTTTGGAGCACTTTCCAGGACACAACAGACATCTTCCATATCTCACAGCCTATGAAAGGCATATTTAATACTCTCTGTTTACAATGCAGTTACACGTAAACTGTGAGGGAGACACATATTCACAAAAAAGCAGTGGAAGTGTACCAGGAAGGTGAATCTATTACGGCACATGTCTGCAGCTTGTTTGAGGATTCTAGTATCCTCTTCACAATTTTTGCAGAACACTGATGTACCCAGTGCAGAGAAGGCATGTATGGCAGCTGTTGATCTTGCCCATCTGCAGCATAATACTTACAGAAGACCCTGCTCAGATGAGAGAAACTGTTGTAACAGGACATAGGTGGAGCATGGTTTTGGGGGCCTAGAGGACAAAGTCAAGCAGAGCTCTACAGGGGGCACCACCTCTACTCACAAGGAAGGATACCATGCACCAATTTGTACTGGAACACATGAAAGACATAACTCTGATAAGAATTTCCTCATCTGCTGACATAGAGCACCACATATTTTCAGATGCATTTGGTAACTGCCTCAAACTGTGTCAGTGAGCATGTGTGAGAGAGAATCCAAGCATGTTATCCTGCCAGAAAGAGTCCCAATTTCTGATCAGTTTGTAGTAGACAAGTTGTACTTTCTAATTTATAGATGTGTATTTTAGTGGGATCATAAAAGAACCACTTAATACTATAAAATTAGTATATAGTATATTAGTATATAGTCTGAAGGCCAGAACACCAGTCATTTCATTGGGAGAAATGCTATCAACAGAAGACAAGGTTGTACTTGTCAATAAATAAGGTTTGTAAGCATGCTAGGCTCATGAATGTTCTTCCATTTTCAAATACATCATCATGCTGCTAAGTGCTGTTACAGCAGATTATCCTACCATGCCACTCAGCTAAGTGTAGACCCTTCCAGAGAAAGGTCCTCTTCTTTCAGTAGAGATTTCCTTGGCTTGGAGGAATGTGCTGCATTTAGCTGAGCAGAATGTTCAGACAGAATCCTTTATGTACAGCCTTCTGACAGAACTGTCTATGCAAGAAGTATGTGCTTTGTAGTATCAGATTTAGAGGGGGGAAAAAGGTACCCCAAGAACTCAGAGGACCAGGGCTTCATGAGGTTGTCACTATACACACACACACTAGGAAAAAGGCCCGTTGTGGAAATAAATACAACGGCCTCTAAAAAGAGGCTCTGGGCGGGTGCCCCGGCCTTGGACACTCCGTGTCAATTTGCTGTGGCGACCTCAGCAGGGTATAATGACACTGAGCACCATTTTCTCCAGAGGAACTGATCTCTGCTACCTCAAGAACAGTTGTAATTTTGAGTGATCCTCCAGCCCTCACCTGGAGATTGGCAACGATGGTTCCCCAGAAGGGAATAGTTGGTTTGGAGGCTTTGTACCTGTCCGAGGTCCCACGCCTCCTGAAACCTCACCCTCTCCAGGCTCCATCTCTCACATATCCAGGAATTTCCCACCTGGAGTTGGCAACCCTATCTCCTTCCCAGCCAATCATCAACATACCTTTATTTCCCCCTCACTCTTCAGCTTTCCACCCCCCACACACCTGCAGCCTCTCCCGTGCTCTGAAGCCCTGACTGCTACGTCACATTGGCTGTCATACAGGGGCCACCTCAGCAGCATATAAGGATACAGAGCCCACCATTTTCTCCAGGGGAACTGATCTCTGCCATCTGGAAAGCAGTTGTATCTGAGTGATCTCCAGCCCTCACCTGGACATTGGACACATTTTACCTCAGAACAGCAAAACTGTTTAGAATGTTAGAGGCAAAAGCCAATCAAGTCGCATATGCAAACCACCTCTGTGTTCCGAGGCAGAGGCCAATGAGGCTGCATATGCAAATAACCTCTGTGTTCTGACTGGCTATGGGGGGGGGGGATTAGCAAAATGTTTAGAATGTTAGAGGCAGGACTCAGGCAAAGCAATCAGTGGATAGGGAGACCCTCTGAATGACAGATCAGAGAGCGAACTGAATTTGGAGTGTGTGGAATGTTCTAGAGAAGTGCCACCACCATTCGGCTTTTATTTATAAGGGAGATATGCTAGACCCCAGTCCCACTAAGATTATATTTCAAACATATATTCAATTTTTGCACAAGCAATTCAGATGTTTAAATCTTTCAAAATGAGAACATTTTTATAACTAAAATATACCTAGTAAGATACTTGAAATATTTGCTTTTTACTAGAGAATAGAATGGCATATGCTTTACCTTCATCCAATTTTATATCTATTTGATTAGATTCTTCTGTGCTGGCCTCTGAAGAAATATGCTCAAAATTCTTTTTAAGATGTTGTAAAAAGACCTCCATTGATAAAGTAAAATGCAATTCTTTATTATTTAGCCAATGCACTACAAAAGGTCCACTTTTTTCTTCATTTTCATTAAGACTCAGAGACATGATAGAAGGGAGCAAGGGAATGTCTGTGAAAAAAACAACAGCAGTGATATACATTTGCATTATTTCCTGTTGCTTCAAGCTCAACTGTATTAAAGATGGACATAAATATAGACACTGGATTTACTGGAGATAATTATCCCAATCCTACCCCATTGCTGCAATATCAGGGAGAAAGAGACTTGTGCCTGTATGGATACCCACCTCCCTATTTACACAATCCTCTAAAGCTACACTTCCTACAGAGATTTGCTGGTGTAATGATCTGCTAATATCAGGTAACTGAACTGTTCACCAATGACCCTTCAAATGATGCATAAGAGTTTACAGCAACTGTACCACTATGGAAATAACACATTTACATGAAGATATAAAAGACATGGCATAACATAACATAACATAACATAACAGACGCCAATGTTGGATCAGGCCAAAGGCCCATCCAGTCCAACACTCTGTGTCACACAGTGGCCAGAAATACCAGTGCCATCAGGAGGTCCAGCAGTGGGGCCAGGACATTAGAAGCCCTCCCACTGTTGACCCCCCCCCAAGCACCAAGAAGACAGAGCATCACTTGCCCCAGAGCCCCTAGCTATACCTTGTGGCTAATAGCCACTGATGGACCTCTGCTCCATATGCTTATCTAATTCCCTTTTGAAGCCATCCATGCTTGTAGCACCCACCACTTCCTGTGGCAGTGAATTCCAAGTGTTAATCACTCTTTGGGTGAAGAAGGACGTCCTATTTCTCATATTTATACCTCCTCGCCCCCTTTTTGTTGGAAGGGTTGCGGAGAGAAAGGCTCTTTTAAACACTGTTGGTGGGATTGTCCCATCATTGCAAAATTTTGGTCCAAAATGATAGATCTGACCAATAGAATTCTTAATTGTGATCTTCCTAAAACCCCGGAATCTATTCTTTAAAATTTTTGGCCTTCTTTACGGCTAACTAAATTAAAAATAGAGTTAGCTGCACTTTTATTAAGCGCTGCAAAAACTTTGATTGCACAAACCTGGAAACTTAAAGCTCCTACGATCCACCAATGGTTTATTAAGGTATGGAATATAACAGTTATGAATAAATTAGCATCACAAATTTGGATGGCTGAAGTATTAGCAAAAAAGAACATATTCTTGGAAAAATGGTTTCCCTTTTTTGATTTTGTTAATAATTCAGAAAACAAGAGTTGTAGTTTCCCTGAAAAATATATTGATATAATTTCATATTAAACAAATTGTTGTTATTGCTAGTTATTATCATTGTTAATTTTGAGTGATTTCTATATTCTTACAATGATTCAATTGTATATCAAGACTTTATTTTGAAAAAATCTCGTTAAAATTGTTGTTTTATTGTTGTATATGTTGAAAAATTTAATAAAAAATATTTTTAAAAAAGATATAAAAGACATAACACAAAGATTTATTTATTTATTTTTAGTATTTATAGCCCGCCCTTCCCACAAACTGGCTCTGGGTGGGTAACAACGTTTCAGTAATACAATAAATAATTAAAAGTTAAAACACATAATGAACAGTAAAACTGAGGTCACAGTTCAAATAGAAAATAGCTGGCTGCGAGAGGTACCCAACCCGTTGATGATAGCTAACTACTGCTGGGTGGTGACACAATCTCAGAGAGGCCATATATAGGCATCTGCTGTCTCATTCGAAGCCTGGTGGAACAGCTCCATCTTGCAGGCCCTGTGGAACTCAAGAAAGTCCCGCAGGGCCCTGATCTCAATAGGAAGCATGTTCCACCAGGTAGGGGCAAGGGCCAAAAAAAACCTGGGCATAGTCATAGAATCATAGAGTTGGAAGGGGCCATACAGACCATCTAGTCCAACCCCCTGCCCAATGCAGGACCAGCCTAAAGTATCTCTGACAAATATTCATCCAGACTCTTCTTGAAAGTTGCCAGCGAAGGGAAGCTAACCACCTCCCTAGGCAGCTGATTCCACCTTTGAACCACTCTGACCGTGAAAAAGTTTTTCCTAATATCCAGCCAATACCTTTCTGCAGGCAATTTAAACCTGTTGCTTCGGGTTCTATCCTCTGCTGCCAACTGGAACAGCTCCTTGCCGTCCTCCAAATGACAGCCTTTCAAATATTTCAAGAGAGCAATCATGTCCCCCCTCAATCTCCTCTTCTCCAAACTAAGCATTCCCAAGGCCCTTAGCCTCTCCTCGTAGGGCTCAGTCCCCAGACCCCTGATTATCCTCATTGTTCTCTTCTGCACCCTCTCGATTTTGTCCACATATTTTTGAAGTGAGGCCTCCAGAACTGCAAACAGTACTCCAGATGTGGCCTGACCAAGGCAGTATACAGAGGGGCTATGACCTCCTGCGATTTTAATGCTATGCTCCTTTTAATACAACCCAAGACTGAATTTGCCTTTTTTGCCACCACATCACACTGACTGCTCATATTTAGTTTGCAGTCCAACCTTACCCCAAGATCTCTTTCGCATATACTATTCCCCAGAAACATATCCCCCACATTTTTGTGGCCCAGATGTAATACTGTGCATTTATCTTTCTTGAATCCTGTTTACAACTGCCCACTTCTCCAGAGTATTCAGGTCTTGTTGAATTTTAACTCTATCTTCTTGGATATTTGCTACTCTTCCCAATTTGGTATCATCAGCAAATTTTATGAGTAGCCCTTCTACCCCTTCATCCAGATCATTGATAAAAATATTGAAAAGTTCTGGGCCCAAAACTGAGCCTGGCGGAACCCCACTGGACAAGACAGCAAGACGGACATCCTTCGGACCAGGGACCACCAGGTGGTGTTGGTCCACAGAGTGTAATGCTCTTTGGGGCATATACGGGAAAAGGCAGTCCCTCAGATATGTTGGTCCCAGGCCGTGTGACTTTAAAGGTTAGTACCAACATCTTGAAGCGAATCTGGAACTCAATCGCTAGTAAATGCAGTTGGCAGAGCACCTGCCGAATGTGAGACCGCAAAGGTGAAAACGTCAGCAGGTGCGCCACCGCATTTTGTACCAGCTGTAAAGCCTACGTAGAGTGAATTGCAGTAATCCAGCCTGGAAGTGACCATCGCATGGGTCACTGTAGCTAAATCCTGGGGGGAAAGATAGAGTTTCAGCAGCCTAATCTGCCTAAGATGAAAAAATGCAGAACTGGCAACTGCAGTAACCTGGGCCTCCACAGAAAGGGTGGCATCCAGTGTTACTCCTAAACTCCTCACTTTCTGGATTGGCACCAAAGGCACTCCTTCCAGAGTGGGGAGCCTGATGCTCATATCTACACACACACCCAACCCAGGTACAAGACTTCCATCTTCGATGCATTTAACTTCAACCGGCTCTGCCGCAACCATCCAGCCACAGCGTCCAGAGCCTCAGCCAGATTATCGGGGCAGAGGACAGATGGCTGTCCAATAACAGATAGAGCTGGGTGTCATTTGTGTACTGATGGCAACCCAGCCCATACCTCCAGACTAACTGGGCAAGGGGGCGTATACAGATGTTAAGTGGCATCAGCGAGAGGATCACCCCCTGCGGTAATCCACATTCCAGTGGGCATTGCGAGGAGACCCTCTCACCATGTGCTACCCTCTGCCCCCGACCATGGTAAAAGGAGGAAAACCACTGCAAGGCAATCCCCCAAACTCCTACGTCAGCGAGGGGGTGGTGAACAAATCATATTTGACCGTGTTGAATGCTGTCATTAGATCTAATAATAATAGCAGCACCAACCCACCCTGATCCAGATGTCTACGGAGGTCATCTGTAAGGGTGAACAGAGCTGTCCCCATCCCATGGCCGGGGCAGAAACCAGACTGGAAAGAGTCGAGGATGGAAGATAACTAATTAAATGACCAAAACAATTCAAATATTCGTGGCTGGGGTCCAAAAAGCAACTTTATAGATGATTATGTTTTCTGCATACCAGTAGGATTTTTTTTCCTTTTACTTTCTTCTCTGAGCAACAGATCCCAGTACCGAGAAATAGTTTTTTGGAAAGTGTCTCCAGTTTCAAAAAGGATTTGGTCAAGGGGGGACCGGCAAGGAGTTATGAGTAGCATCTCATTTTCCTCTCCCCGACTCTTCCCCTTCCCTGAATAGCTTCTCCCCTTGTCCTGCTTATTTCTCTCCTTCCTACCCACCAGCCAATCTACGTTTACTGCCCTCCCTATCTGCAGCTGTATTTATTTATTTACTTCATTTATTTACCCCATTCTTCCCCATGAAAACATAAAGCAGCTTACATTATTCTCCTCTCCTATATCTCATCCTCCCAACAACTCTGTAAATAAGATTAAGTGTTAAACATTTACCCCATCATCACAAAACCAACAGCTATTTTGACTATAAACTAGAATAATACAATACCAAATGGGAGGGAGTAGGGAGCTGCCTGAATAAACTGAGACCCTGGCCCCAAACTAACACCGTCTTCAACATGTTAATACCAGACCTAAATTAGTATCACCATTAACATGTTACAGTCAGACGCTGCTAACGTCCACCATTGCCCATGAACAGCACTAGCACTTTACGCTGTGTTTTAAAAGTGTATTGTTCTGGTTTTATTTAATCTTGTGTTTTAATGTTTAATAATGTTTTATGTAAGCCGCCCTAAGCCGGCCTTGGCAGGGAGGGCAGGATACAAATTGAATGAATGAATGAATGAACAGATTAACTATTACTAGAAAAACAGATTCTAGCTATTATACTAACCCTCACTACTAAATTTACTAAATTTACCCTGACCTGGATGACGCAAGCTAGCCCAATCTTGTCAGATCTTGGAAGCTAAGTAGGGTTGGCCCTGGTTAGTACTTGGATGGGAGACCACCAAGAAAGTTCAGAGGCAGGCAATGACAAACGATCTCTGCTTGTCTCTCACCTTGAAAACCCTACAGGGTTGTTGCAACTTGGATGCGACTTGACAGCACTTTCCACCACCATCGCTACCATTAAACTTCTATCAGACTAACTGAAAACTGGTCATCCCAGACAGCAGATTGATTTAATTAAAATAAATAGTTTTATCTTAAAAACAATCTATAGACAAAAACCATGTCATATATCAGTTTCTTCAGAACCTAAAAAGGTTAGTCAAGAATAGAAGAGGGCCAACTCTAAAAATCTAATTATGAAACATACAAAAATATGCATGTATTTATTAAACACAAATTAAAATAACAAATAAGGGCCCATTCATACCTCATATACAAATATAAAAATACAAAGGCTGATGAAATAGACCTAACGCATTTGGGCCTTCATAGGCCTTCCTCAGAGGTCTAATGCAAATAGAACATATTGGCTAATATGTAAAAATATATACAATCAAACATATACAAAATATGAAATAAAGACCCGAAAACAATTGTTCCAAAGTTTAACCACTGGGCAAAAATACAAATGAAACCTCCAGTGCAATCACATGTCCAGTAGTACTTCTCTCTGGTCAACTATATATTATCCTGAGATTGTATAGCCAAATGTTCCCAATGAAATATTCCTTCTTAATTACCTGTGGCTGGATTGATGCTGGCAGCAATATGAAAGTGGCAAAGTGCATTTGATTGCAGTGGAGTGTTTCGATGAACTTCATGAGGATCCTGCTGATGTGGCAAGTACCCAGTATGTGCAAGTGCTATAGACCTTCTTCTGCCTCGTCGAAAGGGCTTTAGATTTAACTGTTGGGAGAATGACCGGATTTGTTTGTACAACATATTACTCAAATACAAAAGACATAATAAACCATTCCATATCACTGCATTTGAACATGCTTGTATGAATACAGCAGACACATTTTATTAAACAATTGTTTATGCAAAAATATATTGCTTAATATAAAAGTTTGCATTATTGAAGAGTTGCATTAACATAGGTTTATTTCTTAGTACTGAAGCAAAGAAAGTTATTCTAGATATTTGCTAGAACTATGCAGATTTGATAGGTTCTCTCAAGGTAGGATAATTGAATATCGTTACCTCTAAAGCACTCTTCATACTTTCCTTACTAGAAGCATTTCTCTTAAAGTTATTAGTTAATTTCACTGGCTCAGGCCAATGGCTGCATCCATCCCCGTACAGCAGACTATCATTAGGCAACAAAGTTTCTGCCCACAGACGACATATATTATCCTTGCAGCATGTCAGCAGTACATTGCAAACAGCACCACTAGAGGAAAAAAAGTGAGATTGGTTAAACAGAAATGATACAAAAGAGATACAATTTTTAAAAGGTATTTCTGACTCTTGCACTAGACTATAACCTACAAAAGATAACCTTTTATCATATACAAATGCAGGATGGGATGAAGACTAGGAAGCAACATGGAGAAATACTAGTTTATTACCTATAATTGATGTTCAAGTGGAATCAGCACAGTCACATATATAGATTCTGTGCCACTACAGAAGCATTTCTAGAAAGTTATTAGAGTTCAGCATCCAAAACTGTCACCTAAATCTCTACCCCAAAGGAAGATGCTTTTGCTCTGCACCTGCACTGAAGAGTCTACTACTACTAGAAGTTCTTCCAGAGGAAAAAATTTAGAGGACAGCAGTAAGAAAGGAGGGAGAGTTGTGGTATAACTGATCATAAGAAGAACATTCATTACAGGTAAGCAACCTGTTTTTCTTCTTCACAGTCTGAAAAATGGATAACTGGCTTGCCTAAAGGTGGCCACGGTATATCCTCAAGAAAAGACACCCCCCCTTTTTTTGCCATCAATCAAGTCACAGATAACTTATGGCAACCTCATGGGGTTTTAATGGCCAGAGACATTCAGAGGTGGTTTGCTATTGCCTGCTGGACTTCCCTGATGGTCTCCCATGCAAACACTAACCATGGCTGACCCTGCTTAGCTTCCAAGATCTGACAATATCATGTAAACAGCAGTATTTCCCAAAAATAGCATGCAGTCATGCTGTTATCAAAAGCACAATGTGAAAACAAAAGTAGAGGCTGTAGTCCAATTGGTAGCTTCTCATAGGGAATCCTTTCATGAACTCTGAGGAACTGGTCACCATCCTCGTAGAATGTGCCTATTGACATTGCTTTGCCTCAGGACTGCTGAAGAAAAACGAATTCTGTCTTGTCCTTGCTCTTCTAAAGACCATATACAGTGAAAACCTTGTCAGTCTCAATGTTTATGTTGTTGAAGGCTTTCATGGCCGGACTTCATTAGTTGTTACAGATTTTCCAGGCTGTATGGCCATGGTCTTGGCACTGTAGTACCTGACGTTCCACCAGCTGCTGTTACTGGCATCCTCAGAGGTATAATACAGAAAGATGGAGTGCTCTCTGTGTCAGTGTGAAAAGAAAAACGGTAGGCAGGTAATTTATACCTACTTAGAAAGGTGGGGTACGGCTGACTCATTACCTTGTAGGAGTTTCGCAGGCTGTGACATACTAATGGAGGAGCTTTCCTGCGGAGGTTCTTTTTGAATTGGCTATTGAAATTCTAATCTTATCTGTAGTGCTGTTGTAAGATGTAGAGCATTTTGTGTTTTTCAGGACTAGAAACCATGCCCTATTTATTTTTGAACTCTTTTCTTTCCTGTTGAAATTGTATTTATGTTTATGAATTTCAATGATTTCCCTGTGTAATCTGACATGGTAATTGGATGTGTTGTCCAGCATTTCAATGTCTTGGAATAAGATACTGTGCCCTGTTTGAGTTAGGAGCTACTGCTGATCTTTTTATTATTCTACCAGATGACAAAGGCAATGCCACAGTGATCATGAAAACGGGAAGAATACAAAAATAAGATTAGATAACTTCTGGACCCCGTCACATACAAAAAACTAAAATGAGATCTAACCTGCAAAATCACCAGGCAAATGAGTAAATGAGCCTGGGAAACTCCTACAAGATAATGACTCAGCCCTTCCCCACCTTCCTGAGTAGATATAAATTACCTGCCTACCGTTTTTCTTCTCACACTGACACAGAGAGTACTCCATCTTCTGTATTATACCTCTGAGGATTCCAGTCACAGCTGCTGGTGAAACTTCAGGTACTACAATGCCAAGACCATGGCCATACAGCCCGGAAAATCTACAACTAAAGTCTCATGTTTGGCTGCTCCAGACCTTTACCAAAATGTGAATGTTCAGCTTACATATTTTTACATATTTGCTGACAATAATTCAAATTTGAAAGGGCAAATCAGTCAAACTTACAAAACTAAACCTCAGTACGAATAATTTAATGCATTCCTTAACTGAGAGAAGATGGAAAATACGTTATACGGAATAATAATGAGTTTAATTATCTTAAGTTAAAAACAATTCCTTTTATTATCACAACTTGTTTAAGGTCCTATAAATCTAGAAACGACCACACAGGAGGGAGTCCCCCAAGATGGTGGCGGAATAGCAGCACTGGTCACAACGCTCCACAAGTGATTTTATTTTCATGCTTTTATCTTACTAAAAACCTTCTGCTTAGTAATTTGCACAATATAACTGTTTCTCCAGTTTGAGGTTTGAAGCAACTGCTGTTTTAAAGAACCTGTCTCTTGTAATCAGCCTCAAATTGCTACAAGTTACTGTCCCTGAGATAATCCTGGAACGCTGAGTCATTAAGGCTGCTGCCAACTTCAGCCATAAACAATCAGTGGCATAAATCTAGAAACTATCTTACTATTACACATAATATGCTGGTAGAATTGAAATCTGTAGTTGGCTAGAAGAAAATAAAAGCTGGTTACTTAAGTACATTACACCGGATGGGATTCAGACTGAACATGACAGAAGGTTTTTCATTTCTTGTATCCCCCTTCTGCTGAAGCGCAAAATGTTGTTCCTGGAGATACTCCTCCCCAGCAGAACCATTTGGGAGGAGGCAATCTGAGTAGCAAAAGGTGGTTGGGAGGCAATAAAGGCACACTTCACTGACAGATATTCTTCCATCAGTACAAATGCTCAGATGGATGCAAGCCACCAATAGTGGACACTTGTATAAAACTAAAGGTAATTTTACCACATTGTTCAATTCCATAGCTTCTCAAAAATGAAAACTCCTTGGCTCTATAGTTAATAATTACAGATAATACTTGCCAAGGTGGGCACAACTTTGAGAAAAGCCATTTAGACTTTGGAAGTATTAGTGATATGAAGGTATCAAAAACCTGAAGGAGTCAGTCCTCACCGTGGCATGTATTTACTCGTCTTTCTCCATGAAAATCCATTAACAGACCGAGGGTGAACCAAATAAATAAATGAGAAATCTACTTCCTGTGTGATAGGTTCTGGCGTTGGAACTTGAGGAGCAACTGCTGATTTCCAGCTATCAGTATTATACCACACCTTCACAAGACAATCATCCTAGCAAAGAAAAACAGTGATATAGATTAATGTTAATGTTGCCATACTGTCATCATTTATTCTTCACCTGATACTACAACATATTTTCCTAGGTGACTTTACTGTAGTACTGATACAACATATTTTCCTAGGTGAAGATTATTTCACCATGTCAATCTGATAAGGAAATCACTTTGAAATGACACCACTATATCCAAATTAACCCATGTGCCCTTCAATTGCTTGTAGTCCCCTAACCTGTCAGAATATCTAATAGTAAATAATATACAGGCTATCCCTTGTGGTGATGATGAAAACAGCAAAATGGGCCCACTCAGAGAACAAAGAGCTTCCTACATATTTAGGGGACATCCTGAGTCTGCAATAAAATATGACACTGCAAAATAAACTTAATGGGACCGCCCCCCAAAAAAAAATATGGCTTGAGGAGGACCAAATATGAGCACAGGATATTGACAACGGCTACCAGTTAAAGAAAAACACGTGGTGGGTTTAGCCTGCTTCTTCCCTTGGCAGTTTATTGAATACTGGAGTGGGAGATTTTGAGGAGTGAGATGGGACTTCCAAATTGTTTTCCCTTCCTACAGTTCCTTACACATGCTGAGTTCGACAGCCACAACTTCTGCTGCTTTTCCTTCTTCTTGACCAGTGATCAGAATATTTTGGCTGCACTTGGCAGTCAACCATTATTGTATGCCACCAGTCATCCTACCCCTCCCCAAATCTGTATGGTACCAGACATTAATGAAGATCAGAGCAGCAAGAGACCCTGCTGTGTTTCACTGCTTGCTGTGCTTTGAAGAGAGACAGGATTCTTCTGTTCCCTAAAGTGTCCTGCCCATGCCAGAGATTAGATTACAAAACAGTGGACTTCCCTGAAGGTTTCTTCTCTTCAGTAGGGCTAAGTCATCAAACTGGTTAGGTCACGCCTCCTCTTGCTCCAAGGAGGGGTATGCAAACTTTGTGTGGCTCTCTTGGGACAGAGCAAGGCTGTCTTTCCAGTCATCAAATAGCCCAGTTCCAAAGATATTGTCCTTACTGAGTTCGTTTTCTTTTTTTTGGGGGGGGGGAGGGGACTGAATTACTTCACCCCACTGAAGAGAAGAAACCTTCAGGTTAAGTCCAGTGTTTCATTCTACTTCAGTGGGGGAAGTCATCCAAGCTGGTTATGTAACACAGCAAATTAAAGGGAGGGAGAACTACAGTTTTTTACTCCAACACCTGTTGAAGGACTTGCCTCCCACAGGCAGCTGGTCGATCCTATAGTGTCTTACAAAAAGCAGAAAAAGATCACCAGGTTGCTGCCCTACAAATCTCTTCTACTGAAGCTCTAGTAGAGAAAGTAGCTGACTTGGCAAGTGAATTGAACATGCTAAAAGTTTAAATGCCTTCAGTTCACTTGCAAAGACACAGTGTGGCAGCAACACAACTTGGCAAGTGAACTGGAAGCATCTATATATCTAATACCCAAGTCGCCCCGTCTGTGCGGATCGCTAAATCCGTGCTCCGGGGCGACCTGGGGGGCAGGGAGAGTTTTGTGCACTCTTGGGGCAGTCCCCAGGGGTGCACAAAAATCTAAAACCTAAAAAAAATATCGGGGGGGATATTTAAATCCCCCCGAAAGTGTCAGAGCGTTCCGTGCGCATGCGCACGGAATGCTCTGCGGAGGCCACCGCCGCCATTTGGAAGGCGAGCGGTGAGGAGGGGGGGCAGAGCGGCCCTCGGCTCGGAGCCGGTGTGGGTGGGTGTGGGTGGGGAGAGCAGCGAGGGGCGACGGCGCGGCTTCCCTCCCTCCCTCCCCTCCCGAAGCCGGAGAGCTGCCGCCGGTCACACAGGGCAAGACAGAGACGGGGGAACAGAGAGAAGGGGGGAGAGAGAGACTGGGGGGAAGAGAAAGAAGGGGGGAGAGAGAGACAGAGAGAGAGAGAGACTGGGGGGGGAGAGAGAGAAGGGGGGAAAAAGAGAGACTCCTCCCCGCGAGTATCACGGGTCCCCCCCTTGTTTATATATAGTTCTCAAAAGAGCTCTCTCAGCCTCACCTACCTTACAGGGTGTCTGTTGAGGGGAGGGGAAGGGAAAGGAGATTGGAAGCCACTCTGAGACTCCTTTGAGTAGTTAATGGCAGGGGATAGATCTTCTCTTCTTCCCAAGTTGTGCCGCTGCAGTGGCACGATTCAGCAAGTGAACGGAATGCATTTAGCTGTGCCTGAATAAAAGCCAAATAATATTGGTTTCTTTCAGGCACAGCTATTTTGGTCACCGAATCGGATTGTCTAATCTGTATTTGGCTGAATAAATACACAAAAAATACAGATAAGGTATTTTCAGGTATTTATTTGGCTCGGTATATACTGAACGCACACCCCTAATTCTGACATATTTATTGGCCAAAATGTTACCCAAACTCTTGCGTGCCAGAACAGCAGTGAGGGCAGCTACCTGTTGTTTTAATATATTCAGCCTCAGCCCTTGTTTCCATCCTTCATGTAGGAAGGCAATCACATCCCTGTGTGATGGTTTCAGTGGGTCTAATCTGTAGGTAGTGGCCCATTTTCTAAAAGTAGACCAAGCATATAGTTATAGATCCGACTGGTTGCTGGCCTCCTTACTTGGATCATGATGCCCATAATTTCTTTTGAGATGCCTGTGCTCTTTAGGTCTACCTGCTCAACTTCCATGCCGTTAACTGTATCCATTCTGGGTCTGGGTGTAAAATCAGACCCTGACTAAGGAGGTCTTTCCTAGGAGGAAACCACCATGGTGTGCCCATCAACAGCTTCAGCAGTTCTGAAAACCATGGTCCTCTTGGCCAGAATGATGCAATGAATATCAGCTCTGCTCTTTCCCCTTGTATTTTGTTCAGCACCTTGCTAATCATGAAAGAGAGCATTTTCTCCTTCTGCTTTGGGTTTGAAGTACCTCAATAGGAATTTCAGTACCTGTTGGTTGCTCAAAGGGGCAAACAGATCCACTATTGGAGTCCTGTAATTATTTGCCATTTCCCAGAAGATGTTTTTGTTCAGAGACCACACTGCTCCTTGGTCTATACCCTCCCAGCTCAGCCAGTCTGCTTGGGTGTTTAACAGCCCTTGGACATATTGTGCCTTTAGGCCCTTCAAGTTTAACTCCGCCCACTGGAATAGTTGCATTGTTTCTTGATAGAGAAGGGCTGCCCTGGTGCCCCCTTGGCGATTGATAAGGACCTTTGCTGTTGTTTCTCTCTAGAACATAGGTCTCTTGAATCAATCTGTGGAAGGAGAACAGGGCTAGTTTTATTGCCCTTTGTTCTAATCAATTTATGCTGTTGGACTTTTCTGTTGGAAAGGAAACTATCCTGGAAGTGTGCTCCCCACCCTGTTGTACTGGAGTCTGTGGTCACCAGAATTTGATGGGATTGCAGGAAGATGACTCCCCTCCTCAGATTCTCCTGAATGATCCCCTACATTAGAGACTTGTTTAGACACGAAGTCACCAGGATCTTTTTGCATCTTCTTTTGCAGATATCCATCTGAAAAGGCAGAGTGTCCACTGTAAGGGTCTCGCATGGAGTCTATGGCAGATATTAGCAAAACCAATACTTGGGATAGGAACATGAAGTCTGCTCAGTTCTGTTTGCGGAATTTGTCTATTGCCTTGATCACTTTTGTTTGTCTCTCTGCTGGAACAAAAACTTTGGCCTGAGATATGTCTATCCTGGCCCCTAAATGTGTCAGATTTTTGGATGCACTGAGGTGACTCTTCTGGAAATTTATCAAGAAGTCATGTATCTGCAGTAACTGGATTATAACTCTGGTTTTGCTGGTGGACATCTCCACATCCTGGGCCCTGATCAGAATGTAGTCTAAGTAGGGGTAAGTACGGATTCCTCGTTGTCTCAGAATAAGAGTCACCAACACCTTGGTAAAGACCCGTGGGGAAGAAGAAAGGCCAAATGGTGATGCCTTATATTGGTAATGCTGATCCTTGTAGGAGAATCTCAAGAACTGTCTGGAAAACCAATGAATAGGTGCATGCAGGTAAGTTTATTTGATGTCTAGGGAAGTCAAATAATAATTATGTTGTAAATTTTGGATAATAGATCACAGTGAGTCCATATGGAACTTGTGTTTCTGCACCTACAAACTGAGTTCCCTCAGATTTAGAATTGCTCTCCAATCACCTGACTTCTTGGGAACAATGAAAAAGGTGGAGTAAACTCCCTGGAAATGTTGATGGGAAAGAACTGGTTCAACTGCTCCTATGGTAAGAAGATACTGAATTACTTTCTACAGTAAATTTTGTTTTTGTTCAAATTTTGGAAATGGGGAGAGTAGAAAACAGTGCGGAGGGGGGATAAAAATTCTATTTTGTAACCCTGTCGAAAGGACCTAGTGATTTGAAGCTGATTTCCTCCAAATATGGGCAAAGTCCAGCAGGTGCACCCTATCTTGCAGTCATGCTGAGAGCTTCTTACAAAGGGTGCTTCATTCTTGTTTGTTTGTAGGGAACTGTCTGTACTGTATCCAAAGGTACATCGACTTCTGAAGTGGAGGTTCTGTAGGAATGAATGGAATTAGAAGTGTTCCCTTTAACCTCTCTTTCCTTAGTGGTAGAAATGGAGGGCATTGCCTTTTTCTTTTCCTTGATTTCTACCAGAACTTTGACTAAGGCCCTTTCCCCAAAGAGAAGATGTCCCTGGATGATAGATTTGATTTAGATAAGGGTCCACCTTCCAGTGTTTTGACCATAGGTTTCTCCTGACTACAACATTTGCACCTTGAGCCCTAGCACAGAACTGCATGAAATCTTAAGAAGCATCTGAAGCAAACTCAGCCACTCTTTTGATTTTTAATCGCAACCTCTTAAGCACTAGGACGTTGGGCTCCGACTCTTGCAGTAGGCTGTCTGCCCAAATTACAAATGCTCAGGTGAAATTGGAAAGGACTGCCAAAGCTCTAACTGCCAGCAAAGCTGCTACGTGTGATTTTTTGAGTCCTGTTTCATTTTTCCTGTTGAAAGGA